CCCTAGCCCTAGCCCCAAAAAAAACAAGAAATAGTCGAAGAGGGTTGGTAATGGGCTCTTAAACAAGATGGGCCGACTCTTTTTTCTTGTTTTAGTCGAAGAGGGCCGACAGTTTATACGTCGTCGTATAATCATAACTCTTGTACTGAGCTCTCTGTGTGATTTTGTTTCGGACATTATTTATCTTTGCATCCAAACACGTTATATTTAGTTCAAGTTACTCTCTGTTTCAGAATTCTTCTCCGGAGACTGTAAGAGAAATAGCCAAAGGATCTAGGGATTTCACCGTTCTACGATTCGCCGGTGAGTTTTTAATTTTTCTGATCTTATATTCGATTTCTTCTTTCTTGTTTTTGCTTACTCTTTTAATTCGATTTTTCTGTATGTTTCTTGTTTGCTTTCCCGAGAATTCATGGTAAAATTGATCGGTATAGAATTTGGTAATCGACTTTAATTTGGTCATTTTCTCCTTATCCTTATAGCCTCTGTAACTAGCAAGAAATAAAATTTTTGCGTCTTGATCTAATTCGAAGAAACGAATTCAAGATTTAATACTCGTTAATTGAAGACTATTTTCATTTACAGAGTTTGGTTGTCACTTTGTCTTAATTTGATTTTGAAAATACGGTTTAGTATCTTGAAGTGTTTGTTGTATCCATGTATTGACTGGTTCCTGATAATTTTTGAATTTTTTTTTCTGTTGGTTTATGTTAAGATCAGATTGTTGAAGCTTTTAGAGACTTCAATGGTAAGCCAAGGAATGGTGTCTCTTACAAAGTCTCTATGTACTATGACTCCAAGAGTCCGTCTCAAGAATCCAAAGATGATGCAGAACACAAAGATCGGATCTTGTCATGTCCGTTTCAAGAATTTCCGTGTCTTATGCACAACAAAGCTATCTCAGTGGGAGCCATCACCTTTTGTTCCTGCTTCTGCAGAAGAAGCTAGTGGTATAGTATTGGAAAAAGCTGCGAATGTTTTCGAGTCTATTGTATCCGAGGCTGCAGAGGAAGAGAAAGAAGATTCACAGCAACAACGGGCTAACTCCCAAATTCAGGTTTTTAAATGGCCAATATGGCTTTTAGGTCCATCTGTTCTCCTCACTAGCGGTATGGCACCTACTTTATGGCTTCCATTGTCATCGGTTTTCCTCAGTTCCAACGTGGTTAGTCTACTTTCGTTGATCGGTCTAGATTGCATTTTCAACCTAGGAGCAACCCTTTTCTTGTTAATGGCTGATTCTTGCGCCCGTCCTAAAGACCCATCACAATCCTGCAACAGCCAACCACCATTTAGCTACAAGTTTTGGAACATTTTTGCACTCGTAACCGGGTTTCTCGTCCCAACACTACTTCTCTTCGGATCCCAAACCGGCCTACTCGCTTCTCTCCAACCAGAGCTTCCTTTCATCTCGTCCGCTGTTCTCCTCTTCCCGTACTTCATTCTCCTTGCGGTTCAGACATTAACAGAGATCCTCACATGGCATTGGCAATCACCGGTGTGGCTAGTCACACCAGTTGTATACGAGGCTTACCGAGTTCTGCAATTGATGAGAGGAATTAAACTAAGCGCAGAGGTTAACGCACCGGTTTGGGTGGTTCATATGCTTCGTGGGCTTGTCTCTTGGTGGGTATTGATCTTGGGAATGCAACTCATGAGAGTTGCTTGGTTTGCTGGTTTTGCATCTAGAACAACAAATCAGGAACCTGAATCTGTTGCTTCTAAGGAAAGATAGATAGATGTTTTTGTCTGTTTAGCTTTTAAGTCATGTCATAAAGAAAAGATACACTATGTAACACTTTTCTGTATAGCTTCTATTGTTGGGTGATAATAACAATAACATTTTCTTATATGATCATATTATGTATTATTCCTCTCTGCATTAGTTAGGTGAGAGTATTGGCTTGAGTAGCACTTTATGCAAATGGTCTTGGAATTATAGCACTCTCGGTGCGTATTGTAAAAACGTGTCAAGTCCACCAACGTTCCAAATAAAGTGCTAAAAGGCCATTGCATTTCATGTTATTGTCTATTTCAATGCGTTTAGGACTGAACCAAATATAATGCATATTTGTATAGCGAGTAACTTATAAATAAAGACAAAAACTGACGTATAGGTGAAGTACCCTTGCTCCTCACCGGTCAAACTTCTGCTCCGGCATGAGGTTCGGCAATGCTCATCTCCCATTTGGCGTTATTC